AAAATAACTCAAATACTCAAATGTGGGCATTAAAATTCACTTTGTGATTATTTCGATTAATTGTTTATTCAGGCGTTTTTTTCTTTCTTCTAAAAACAAACAAATAAATTACTTAATAAGATAGTTACATAAATAAATAAATAAATAAATAAATAAATAAATAAATAACAATGGCCGAGATGACTTCAACAAGTAAATTTATTTATTTAAATAAATAAATTAATTTATTTATTTAAATAAATAAATTGTTTTAAATATATAATTAGTTTTGTTTTTATATAAAATTATCTTTTGCGGAAGAAAGAATCAAATGAGGCTCCTAAAGATAAAATAAAATCATGATATTCTAATACTAATGCCAACTAATGAGACCCAAAGTTGAAAATATTTTTTACAATCTTTCTAAAGCAGCCTTGAATCCAGAGGGACACAGCCATCATTGTTTAAGTTTTAGCTCCCCCTTCTGGCAAAAACTGGTACTGTTCAGCTGTCAGAAACTGCATTGTGTCCTACTTTATTCTTTTTTCAATGGTTCAAGGATGCAGTGTTCTTTGTCATTTTGAACGAAGTTGTGTACACAGGGTCCCGGTTACATCCAACAAAAGTATTAAAATGTAAAAAGAAAAACAGTAAAAATATGTAAAATATTAAATAAGAAAAACGTTAATGAAAATACACTAAGCACTTGTAGTATAAAAAATACACTGAACAGCAGCAGGAACATGAGTCTGTGTGAGAAGATGAGCACGAATGAACACAGCAACATAAAACAGATCAGCAGCAACATGAAACAGATCAGCAGCAACATGATGTGATTTTTTTTCACAGTGATTATTCTGGTTCATGAGTCTAACAGCCTCAGGGTAGAAGCTGTTCCTCAGTCTAGTGGTTCTACATTTAATGCTCCTCAACCTCCTTCCTGAGGGGAGCGGGGCAAAAAGTGTGTGTGCTGGGTGAGTGGGGTCCTTCATGATGCAGGTGGCTCTCTTCCTGCATCTGGAGGTGTAGATGTCTGTGATGGTGGGGAGGCTGACTCCAACAGACTTCTGTGCAGCCTTCACCACTCTCTGCAAAGCTTTTCTTTCTGCAGCTGTGCAGCCTCCATGCCACACGTTGATGCTGGAGCACAGGATGCTCTCCACTGCACACCTGTAGAAGGAGGTGAGGACTGAGCTTTTTTTCACTTTAAGAGTTACACTACTCCAAAACCTAAACAAGTTCCTAATTTATTAATCACAAATTTGACAGTGTCAATACTACATCAAGTAATTAAAGGAGACAAACTAATCACTTTAACATTTTTAACTAATCACTTTAACCTTTTTAACTTTTTTTTCCTTAATTTATTTATTTATTTTCTGAAGTTCTGCAAATCTCACTGAGGGTGGACAAAGTGTGTTTGTTGGAGGGTGCCTCCACTTTGTGGTCTACATTAGTACTACATCAGTGGAGAAGAGGAGGCCCATCAAAATGAGGTTGGGAGTGAAGAAAACACTAGATTCAGAGGCACAGTGGTAAATATCATCTGGACGTGGAGCATGAATACATAATATGAACATATTTGTGTTGCTGTTGGCAAATGATGACACCCCCACCAGCACTTTAATGGGAATCTGTCAAGGGTTTACAAACATGAGTCTTTGCAAGCATTATTTATTTATTTGTTTATTTATTTATTTATTTATTTATTTATTTATTCAACCTTTGTTTATACAGGTTAGTCTCATTGAGCTCATTTACAAGAGAGACCTGTTTTAAACGAATAACACAGATGACACTAGACAATCATAAAAATGCATATGAATTGAAAAATAAATGGAAGAAAATTATATATAAAAAGAAACAAAAACACATTATAAAGCGATATAAAATTATTATTATATTATTATTATTATTATTATTATTATTATTATTATTATTACACCATTATTATTATTATTATTTGTGGTTATTTAAAGTTTTCACACAAAGGAGATGATTAGGATTAAAAAAAAAAAACATGAAATCAACAAATTTAGAAGCATAAGATTAAATGCTGTCAAATCCAACACCAAACTCCTGACATGGGTTTGATTTTAAGAAGTTATAAATCAAAATACTGATGAATTAGTAGCTGTTGTCTTTATTTGCTGGTGTGTTTTACTTCATTGGGAGCATTCATCAGCCATTCATACTTCTCATTTTAAATCTTTTGAAATAGGTTTTACGTACAGCAGATTCCTTTAAAACACAACAAAACAAACACATTTAAATAAACGATGAAACTAAAGTGTTGGTATCTTGAAAACTACGGTTTGTTTTCTATGATGTGTTAAAGTTATTTATTGTGTTTAAAACTTTGTTCTGATTGGCGTCAAAGAGGCAAACAGGGCAACGCTGGATGAAGAAGGCACAGATACAAAGGTGTTGCTGGATGAGCAAACATTTGTTTTTATTGACATGAAACAACTGTGGGTATATAGGGCAGCATGGTGGGGCAACTGGTAGGTCTGCTGCCTCTCAGCGAGAAGGTTGCCGGTTCACATCCCGGTCCGGGGCTTTCTGGGTTGAGTTTGTATGTTCTCTCCGTGCATGCGTGGGTTTTCTCCAGGTACTCCAGTTTCCTCCCACAGGCCAAGAACATGTATTTTAGACTGACTGGTAACTCTAAATTGTCTCTAGGTGTGAGTGAGACAGTGAATGACTGTTTGTCTCTATGTGTCCTTGTGATGGACTTGAGACCTGTCCAGGATGTACCCCGCCCCGCACACAGTGATTGCTGGACAATGGCAACGGCGACGCCTGTGACCCAAAATGGAAGAAGTGGGTAAAAGATACATATATATATATATATATATATATATATGTACTTTTTGACAGAAGCATGGACTAAACTTAAAAAAAGGTTGTTTGTATAAAATCTCTGATATTATTATCATTGCTTCTAATGGAACAAAAAATAAAAATAAAGTAAAAACACATTTTCATTGATTTTCTGGCTGTGGCCATTCAAGGGACTTTGCTTTTTTATTTTTGTTATTTTTTGCATTTACTCAAACACATTCCAGTTTTCAGAATATGGATGATTTATGAAGCCCTTCCAAAAGGTTGACAGAAGATGGAAATTACTTGATAGGAGAGTTCATGAGTTTTTTTTTTTTGTTCTTACGTTAAATGTTGAATCAGAAAATGTTGTCTGCTTATAGTTTATTGCCCCCACTGAGAGTTTTTTTGTTGTTGTTGTTTCTACTTATTTTCCAAAATGTGGGTGTATGATTCTTATATAAAGGAACAAAGATTAAAAAATAAATTCAATTTAATTTCTTCACAGATGTGTCGCCCAGTCAGCCATAACTTCTACTAATTATGAAAATGTTTTGTCTGACAGTTCAAATGCTATCTGATAATTTAATTGTCAAACTTTCAGAAATGGGTTTATTCTTCTTTTGAGTGGCCACAGAGAGAGAAATAACAGTCAAACGTGGAGAAAAACAAAGTTGTTAATTTTAGTTTTCTTTTTTTTTCTTTATAAAGGTAACTGTTATATGAACATAGTCAAAATTTAACAGCACAAATAAAAAAAAACATGCAATAATATATACGAACAACTGAATGATTCCTAAACATTACCTAATTTAAACCCCGTATGTCAGAGTCTTACTCAGCTCAGCTAAAGACAGCACAAATTAAGGTGGTGGTGCAGAGGTTAGAGAAGCCAGCCTGTGATTGGAAGGTCGCTGGTTCGATGCCCAGACCGACAACATCAAAATATGGGTGGGAAAGGTGAAGCACCCACACCTGCCTCCACCCTCATTGGCCCCACTGGGCCCTAAATCCATCTGTTCCCATAGCAGCTCTCTGCTCCACACAGAGGACTTTGGTAGCTTGGTGGTTTCTGGTTGTGGCAGGAAGGACATTTGGTATAAAAACAATCCCGCATTCTTCGTGTGAGTTAGTCCAACCCCTGAGGAAGGGAGAAGCCGAAAGAAGAAGAAATAGTCAACTGTGTAGGAGTCTGGATTTATTTTACTCCAGAAAGCAAGGAGCCAATAATTTAGTTACATATGTGTCCATATTTGTACGTTTTTATACATGTAATGAACAGAATGTTTCTCTTGACAGATGTTGCCTGAATGTTTGGTTCCTGCTTTAGCGTCCAGTCACCACAAGGTGGCAGTGTAGGCGAAGTAAACCAGACCAGCACAGCTATGAGCCAAGAAAATGCATAAAGATACAAATCACAATAAAATTGAACTGGACAAAACCTGAAAGAGAAACTTGTAATTAAAAATGTAATTATTTTCGTGTTATAATATAAAATTTGTTGAATAATAGTTACAAAGTATTTTCTTATTATTTTAAACTGAAAATAATTGTAGACTATACACAGTTATTGATAAAATAAAGGAGATAAAGTGCTTATAGGAGCTTTTGATGATGATTAGTTAGATGACAATTTCATTTTTAATGCATGAATTTTCCCTTAAAACATATTTTTGTTTTGTTTTAATTCGTCTGTCACACGTTACACTCCAGTTTGATCAGTTAAAGGAAACGAAAATGATAAAATTGCCTGAAATCATACATGAAGTCTTCCGTGTTTGTTTGGTTTTGTTGCTGCTGAGAGATTTATTTTAACGAGACATAAAAACAAGAACACCGCAAGATTTTAAACGAAAAATAAAACATGCATCTTTGCATGATTTCAAAAATATATATAGGAAAATTATTTAATAGCCAGAAATGGAGCAGGAAGTACTCCAAGATAAACACAATAAGTATTTTAGATATATTTTTTTCTTCTTTCTAACACAAAATCTGTTTGAAGTCAGACATGAAAAGAGGAAAACCAAGTGTCCAATCTAAAATCTGTTTAGTTTGTAATTGTTTAATGTCATTCTCATCTTCTCGTCACATCACATTTAATTTCATGTCTTGATAGATGCTCTCATGATGATGATGATGATGATGGGAGTAGGATCCTCCGCTGCTTGGATGAAAGGATGAGATACCATTAAGGTTTAAAATCAGTTCCTTCCTGTCGATCACAAGAGCAGCTGAGTGGCTGGAAAACTGAGACAACTCCCCTGTGAACAAACAGGCCCAGAAGGTCAACATCACCTAATAAAAAGTGTAAAATGTATTTAATTTTCATGATCAATTTGTATTTGTATCTCACTGCTTCCAAAAAGCTATTTAAAACTCAACTGAGCTTCTAATTAATGACCTGAAGGTGTTGATGACATTTTGTAGAATTTAGTTTTGGTATGGGTTTCTTACTGTCAAACAAAATAAATACAAAGAATGAACATAGGACAAATTGTATGGAAAACACAGAGGTGAAAATGTATCCAGTTTGACTGAGTCTGAACTTAAGCATTTGTATATTGATTTTTATTAGAAAGGATGCACTTTGTTCTATATTTAAACCATTGCGTAAAATTTAGACACGTGCATTTAATAAAACAGCCATGAAGAGGCAGGTTTGGAGTTTCAAAGGCCTTAAAAAACCTGCAGTTTGAACATTTAAACAAATCCTCGTCAGTGATAAGATTTGTTTGTGTATTTTGGTATTGTTGTGTGCTTCTTCATACATTTATTTAGCTGCATTAAATCCTGACACAATCTGAATAAAATAAAATAAAATAAATTTATTTTGCAATTCCCAAAAGTTCCGTTTGATATTTATTTGTGTTACAGAAGATGGAATGAGAATTTTCTGTCCTGCTCAGAAAACAACCGTCTAAACCACATGTGGCTGCACGTGTTTACATCTGTTTTCTCACATCACTTTGAATTTAAACAACTGAAGATAACTCCACACTGAGCTATAAATGTGAGGGTTTACCTGGAATGTAGGCGGAATCCCCGTGATCCAGAGGATGAGGCGACATGTTCTGCTGTGTGATGGAGGAGGATGGAGGCGCGCTCCAAGCTGCATCTGCACACTGATGTTGGGTGTCTGATGGGCGCACCGCAGGGGGCTGTGGGGGGCTGCTGCTGCTGCTGTCCGGGTAACAGTCTGAGTTAGAGGCCGTCATATATCCGGAGCTTGATGAGGTGTGCGGGACCTGATGCTCCCCTCCCAGTCTCTCAAACCCACATGGTACCGCGCCACCCATCAGGTGGTGGCTGTGATATAAAGAACCTGAAGATTGAAAATCAAAGCTCTGCGGGAGCGCAGACGCACCAAACCCGAACCCGTCCACCATCCCGAACATGGGTCTCAAAGCTTGGCATTTCCTTCGGAACCCCCTTGGTCTGCGACGAAAGGAGCCCTCCTCAAACATAAACTCGCTGCCCGGGTCGATGGTCCAGTAGTGACCCTTGCCGGGTCTCCCCAGACCTTTTGGCAGTTTTATAAAACATTCATTCAGAGACAAGTTGTGCCTGACGGAGTTCTTCCATCCCTGGTACGTCCCTCTGAAGAAAGAGAAGCGGGCCTGCAGGAACTGATAAATCTGGCTCAGAGTGAGTCTTTTGCTCGGAGAGCTTTGGATGGCCATCACGATGAGAGCGATGTACGAGTAAGGGGGCTTTTCAGCGCGCCTCAAGCCCGAGTTGCCCTTTTTCTCTTTAACCGCGCCTTGGTCACTCACCGGCTGTGCGCGCAGCAGCGCGGCACCAGCAGCTGGACAGGAGCGCGCAGGAACGCGGGCATCCAGATGTTGCAGGGAAATCGCGCTCGTCATGCTTCTTTTCTGAACTCCAACACTTTTTTGCTTTTACCCGCTTCTTAGCGTTTTAATAAAAAGAGCCCCCCATGACATTTCAGTTCAGTGCGCTGAAGCTTGCTCTCTCCCTTCATCTTTGAGGAGAGGACAAATAATAATGATCCTCCACTTGCGCCTATCCAAACCCGACTCGACCACCCCCGTTCACCCCTTTCTTCCACCCACCTTCATTATTTTTTCTAAATCCCTCGAAGAAATCGCACGGAACCTCACCCCATACACTATAAAAACAGTATTTGAGCTGTAGTTCATCTTAAGGACTAATTTACATTAATTTCACTTAATTATTTTAGTTTTGTGAAGACAACTTATTTTATGGGTTCAATTAACTTCAAAGTCACACATTTTATCTGAAATGAACTTTTTTTATTTTGAGTCCAAGTGAAACAATTAGCCAGTTTAATGCAGCTTAATTAATGCAGTCTGACGTCATGACGTAAACTTCACCCGAGACAGATCTCGCTCTTCCTATTTGGAGTCCATGATGTCAAAAACAACAACAACAACAAAAAAAAAAACAGAAATAACTATACATCATAAATGTGATAACACTCTGGGAAATACCACATACACAAAACAAAGTTTAGTCACTCTCTTCCCTCTTTTCATGCTTTCCAGGAGTGTGAACGTTGTAAACATTTCTGATTCTAATAACAAGAAAGTTTTAAAAACATTTGATTTGTGCACCTTACTTAATGTGCTTATTTGAATAATCCCCCTGGATTTTGTTTATTTAATGCATAATGATTACTGTTGTTGTAATGTTTAACTTTTAATAAAGATTTTCATAAAAAAAATGTTTTTAAAGATGCCACTGTACCGACTGCTTGATCAACCACCATTTTTTTCTGAGCATCAACTATCGATGAGAATTGGATTACAGTAGTCCCTCGCTACTTCGCGGTTTTAATTTCACAGACTCACTCTTTCACGGTTTTTCAAAGTAAGACATGACACACAATTGGCTGAGTGATGGAAGAGCCACACAATCGGCATGGATTTTTTTATTTAATATATATATATATATATATATTAAATTATTTAGCACATCCTGCATCTGTCTGCAGCCCACAGGTGCAGGGAGAAGCTCCCTCCTGCAGCATGTCATGATCTCTGCTCTGCAGAGGAGAAGTGGGCGTGGCCAAGAGCGCTGGCAGATGATATAGTGCAGTTGGAGGCAGAGAGATGAAATCCTGACATTCTGTGCTCTTTTAGAGCTTTGAGCTGTCATCTACCGTGCTCCCAAATATAATAAGGATTTTATTAGTGACTTTTCAGATTTTCTTTCTGAAATAGTGACTGGATATGACCATCTCGTTATTATGGGTGATTTGAACATCCACGTTTGTTGCCCAGACAAACCTCTGGTAAAATAATTTTTAATTCTCATTGACTCTTTTAATCTGGTGCATTCTGTGTCTGTACCTACACACGATAAAGGTCACACTCTAGATCTTGTGCTCTCTTTGGGATCACCTGTGTCTAATCTGGAAATTCATGATTCTATAATCTCTGATCATATGCCTATAACATTCCAGACTGTTCTCACATATGCTCCTGTTAAAACTCACACTCCTGCTCAGGGCTGTCGGATTATTATTTTTCCACCATGCTTTCTTAAAGAGGTTTTCTCTTGTTTTAAGCACTTGGTTCTTGACCTTTTTAACGGTAGTTTGTTGTCTGGAGTAGTCCCTGCTAATTTTAAACATGCTGTTGTGCAGCCCCTATTAAAAAAACCTGGTCTCGATCCCACTGTGTTGGGGAATTTTAGGCCCATCTCTAAGCTTCCCCTCCTGTCAAAAATCTTGGAGAAAATTGTTTATGCTCAGTTAAAATCCTTCCTGGATGAACATAACATCATGGATGTGTTTCAGTCTGGATTTAAAACTCTCCATAGCACAGAGTCAGCTCTGCTGAGAGTTTTTAATGACGTCCTCCTGGCATGTGACTCAGGTGATCATGTGATTCTTGTTTTACTGAACTTAACTGCTGCGTTTGACACAGTGGACCACAGCATTTTATTGTCATGTCTACAGCATCAAGTAGGCATTGGTGGGACTGCTCTGGAGTGGTTGGGGTCCTATCTGACTGACAGAACTTTCTCTGCAAAAACTGCTGGGCATGAATCCTATTCTGCTCCCATGTCATGTGGGGTACCTCAGGGATCAATTTTAGGGCCTTTGCTTTTTTCTTTATATCTGCTTCCTCTAGGATCAATTTTTAGAAAACACAGCATCTCCTTTCACTGCTATGCTGATGATTGCCAAATCTATGTTCCTTTGAGGCGAGTTGATGCCTGGTCCATTAAACCTCTTTTATCATGTCTCGAGGATCTTAAAGCTTGGATGGCCCTAAACTTCCTGCATTTTAATGAAAAAAAGACTGAGGTACTTGTTTTTGGACCTAGTGGAGCTTGTTTGAGCCCTCCAGTCGACTTAGACCCCATAACAATGTACGTAAAGTCTACAGTTACAAATCTTGGTTTTAAGACGGACAGTGATTTTAAACTCGACAGTCAAATAAGGGCCACAGTAAAGTCTGGTTTTTATCATTTGAGAAAATTGGCAAAAGTAAAACCTATTCTTTCAAGGCAACAGTTTGAAACAGTAATCCATGCCTTCATTTCATCACGGCTGGATTACTGTAATTCTCTCTATCTCGGAGTCAGCCAGGCCTCACTCGCACGTCTGCAGCTGGTGCAAAATGCTGCTGCACGTCTTTTAACTGGAACACACAAAAGACAGCAC